CCCCTCCCCCCCCCCCCTTCGGAAAACCGGGGCGGGGTCACTACCGGTTCGAACCCCTCCCCCCCCTCCATGAAAAGGGGGGGGGGTCACTACCGGTTCGAACCCCCCCCCCTCGAAAACCGGGGGGGGGTGCGGACAGTGGTGGGGAAGGTGGTGGTGGGGACAGTGGTGAAGGGACAGCGGGACAGTGGTGGGGACAGTGGGACAGTGGTGGGAACGGTAGTGGTGGGGACAGTGGTGAGGACAATGGTGGGAACAGTGGGGACAGTGGGACAGTGGTGGGGACGGTGGTGGTGGGGACAGTGGTGTGGGGACAGTGGGAATGTGGTGGAAACAGTAGGACAGTGGAGGGTACAGTGGTGGTGGGGACAGTGGTGAAGGCGGTGGCGAGGACGGCGGTGGGACAATGGGACAGAGGTACAGTGGGGACAGTGGTGGGGACAGTGGGGACAGTGGTGGGAACAGTGGGACAGCTCAGTGGGACAGCGGAGGAGTCAGTGGGACAGTGGGGATAGTCGGGTAGTGGTTGGGGCCGTGGAGAAAGTGGGGAGAGTGGAACCGAGGTGGGAACCGAAGTGGGGACAGTGGGGACAGTGCGACAGTGGTGGTGGCATTGGTGGGGACAGTAGGGGCGATGGTGGAACCAGTGGGGACAGTGGTGGTGAGGACAGTGTTGCTGGGAACAACAGTGGGGGATGTGGTGAGGACGACGGTGGTAGGGACCGGGAGTCGTTTGCTGGCGGTGGGGGGGGGGTTGGGAAGGGGTTCGAACCGGTAGTGACCCCCCCCTCCGGTTTTCGAGGGGGGGGGGTGTTCGAACCGGTAGTGACCCCTCCCGGTTTTCGAGGGGGAAGGGGGGGGGGGAAGGGGTTAAGGGAGGGGGGGGGTTTGCCGGGGGAGGGGAGCGGGGGTGGGTTTGCGGAGGGGGGGAGGGGACCCCCGGGTTCCGGAGGAAGAGGGGGGGGAATGTTCCACAGTGAAGCGGAGGTGGATCACGCTCTCTCAGATATCCGCGGCCCTCCCTGACCAGGCCCTTCCTGCGCCCAGGAGATGTGCATGTGCTTCCCCAGCCAAGCCCGGGGCCCAGGACAGGCCAGCGCCAAGCCACAAGAAGTCCGCGCGGAAGTCCGGATGTCTGTTTATACGTGCCGAGTCTGGTTTCCTCGGGTGGAGCCAAAGCCTCCCGCAGCGCA